CAACAGGGAAATTGGAAACATGCACTGAATCTAAGTTTTCAGGAGATGTAATGCTTGTAATAGTAGCATGCTATGTCTCACTTAGAGAATCACTTGTCTGAATCACTTGACTTCACTGTTGCTATCTTGGTGATATAACATTAAATATTGTGTGCACGTGCTGTTAATGATCAAATGTAATGGAGGTATAATCATATATAGGTAGTGCCCGTGAAAATATGTTAACACAAATATGTTCACGCTAGTCTTTAGTGAAGCTAATTACTGAACTGAGAGAAATATTATTTAGACAATCACCATTCTACTACGAGGTGATGCTCACAATTAGCCGGGATATGTTTCCAGGACAGAACACGTCACCCAAAAGCTAAAAATAAAAACAATCAAAGGTGAAACCATATTCAAAATGGTTGACTGACAACGCGCGGCTTACCAGAAATGATGTTACTGATCGCACAACTACATTAGTATATCATCAGTTTTCTTTGTGTCTAAACGTAATATGTTCCACACTTTCAAAATTCGTCAATTACAAGATAATTGTATGGATACTATTGTGACGGTGGCTCATGAAATTCGTAAATGATAAAGGAACATTATATATATATATATATATATATATATATATATATATATATATATATATATGCATACATGCAAAAATCCAATTCAAATCTATTTATGGAAATAATAAAAATGTGACTAAATTAGATGAAGTAGTATTCACGGAATTATTGTGAATCAATCTGTTTACCTACGTATCGTATCGATGACTGTGATATAACCGATAACCAATTAGCGCATAGCGTTCACACAAACTAAGCCACTGAATCCCGTCATTCCTGCTAACTTTTTGAACGAAAACAGGGATCAACAATTTAAATTGTCATAATTGATTGGCAACTGACGTTAAACACATAAACATATCAACAGTATATCAAGGACTTACCGATTAAACATCCAGTACAAAATTGCGGCATATCCAACAATTTGAGGGATTACTGATTACTAAAATTGTGTTATGTTTTTTTTGCAGATAACAAAGAATCACTCACGCTCAGTTTAAGTTTTTCAATGATGGCGATAGAAGGAAGTCAACACGCGGTTTCTTCATTCGATACAGAAAATGAGAATACGGAATGCCCCTTACAAATAAAACAGAAGAAACACCCATCATACTTGTGCTCGCACAGTGGACTGATACTCGCATTTTTTGCTAGCGGCTTATTCTCTGTGAGTAACGTATGTGTCAAGCTAGTTACCACAGTTCATCCCTTCGAGGTGGTGTTAATCCGCTTGTTATTTGCATTGGCGTATGTTATCCCAGTGATGCTATACAAGAACGTAGACTTTTGCGAATTCAGAGACATTCAATACATATGGTTTATTGTATCATGTGTATCTCTTAGTGCTGGGTTTGTGTGTTTATTTATTGCCATTAGTATGATACCTGTTGGGAATGTTGTTGTCCTTTACTCTATTCGCCCCATTATCACAGCGTTTATGAGTTGTTGTTGTTTATCTGAATCTGTTACATGGCTTGACTTTGTACTGGGATTTGTCAGCATAGTAGGCATAGCTGCAATAACAAAACCAGAGTTTATATTTGGGAATTTATCGTTTAATGAGTCCATGACTAGTGGACATTATGTACTCGGAAATTGTATGGCCATTGTAGTCGCATTGTTTTCGTCACTGGCATTCGTTTCTATGCGAAAATTGGGAAAGAAAGTTAGTGTATTAGCAATTATATTTTACACCTCTTTGTGCGGTGTTGTTATCACTTCGATTCCCTTGTATATTATGAACAGATTTTCACTACCATCGTCGCTCAGTGAGTGGCAATACGTGGTTGTCACCGTTCTCTCTAGTCTTCTGGCAGAATTGGTATTCCTGAAATCTCTGCAAAATGAGAAGGCTACTTTTGTAGCGATTATACGAACAATGGATATTGTATTTTCGTGCATTTTAGAATATATATGTTTGGGACATCAACCTGATTGGACAGATATTGGGGGCGCTGTGCTTATTATAATATCGTCTATTGGTATTATGATACAGAAAATGTACGTTGGAAAACCAGATTGATTGCCATGTTCGTCAGTTTTACAGGAAACTCGACCATTTTCCATCACAAGCATAATTATTCATTATAGATAAACAGAAACGGCAACAAAACAACTTTAGTAGTGGAAACAAGACAATGCCTCTTTAACAAGTTTTCAAATGCACAAAATGCCGGAGAGTGAGCTGGAAAATGCATAACAATATGTAAAAGAGAATGAGATATTTCTGTTAAGTTAACCATGTTAAATTACAATTAATCTGCTTACAATGGTTTACTTTCTTTCTGCAATTATTTTGTCATCTATGTGTGACCAGCTAGATGTCATCCGATATCTCTATGGTCGTCATGACTGCCAAAGTGGTTCTTTTATAAATCGGTCATTATTTCATTTTTTATATCGTAAATTTTTTATATCGGATGTTACTATTATAAACCTTCACGTGAAAGTGAAAACGTATATGCATATTGGAATATGACAATACTGTAAAATATATTTTAATAAAAGAACAGCATTTTGATAAGAAAATGAAAACGTTAGATAAAAACGTGTAAACGCACTTTACAGCTGTTGTCGTAGCGCCACTTATGCGCGATATACGAATCTCATATGGGCACAAATGGCAACTTTGAATGTTGCGCAGACTAACGTGTACAAACTGAGAGGTTACCAAAATTTAATTTTATTGGTGATTAGAAAAGCGCATCGAACTGTGAGAAAATTCATATTTATCAAATGCCATGAATGTGCAGCACGATGACAACTGCCCTTTAAATGAATATGACAATATAGAAAAACATATTTATTAAAGAAACTGCATTTTGGTAAAGATGTCGTAAGACTATAACGTGTTAACTTGGGTGCCAGTATTGCGTTTGTGAAAATTACCTGACAGTTGACACTGATCGTGTTTATTAGTTCTGTGTGATATGTTGTGAGCAAAGTGTTGGCTGATAACAGGTTCAACCCAAAAGACGTGTTCGTTAGTTCATCACAGATAGTCAAGTTTTATTCATTCAAACGCTCACCTGAGATAAATCCACGCTGCTTTATACTCTTCTTCGCTCTTTCTCTTTACAAACTCTCTACATAAATCGAATCAGCCAATCGCTGCTGTCATTGACACGATCACGTGATTACCAGGAATGTGTTTTCCGATTAATGTATTGCGAAATTGCCACTACAGAATAAATTAGTGTATAAAATGCCTAACCGTGAGACACATCGCTGCACTGTCCCACAGTAGTTGAATATAGCAGTGATGCTAGTACTCTCGTCCACACGGTTATGAAGATAACACCGATCCAAAAAAATGTATTGCAGTGTCATAAACAATAAAGCGGTTGCACATTCTCTGTTGTGGTAACAATCAGTTGATATTAATTGCTTCATATCATAATGTATTTCAGAAATCCCATTAACTGCAAAAACAAAAACATTCTAGATTATTATGTCAATACAATATACAAATATTAGATTCAGTTCTAAGAATCATTCGGACAGTCAGATTGAATGATGGCTTGCAAATTTGCTTAACACTACTCGAAAAATTGTTTGTCTCTTATACAAGTCATATATAGAGTACCAGCAACTCCTACCTCCCTCATCTAGAAGTGTAGTAGAATCTGAGTATGATGAAGAAGTTAAGAGAAAGGAACATTTGATAAAAGATTTCATGATTACATGTTTCTAAGTGTGGATGGTGGAGCTTATGATTTTCCACAATACACTAAGGTGCCAATGGTGCAAGCTGACGAACCCACTAAAGTTCTTCCTTTCATGGTCTCTCAACATTTACATTCCCTCAAGAGAAATCTGAGTGAAATTGGTGAATTAATGGTAAGCAAGGCTGGTAGTTAAGTGTTTGGTAGTCGCGAGTGCTCAGAGGAAAGAAACAAATCAAGTACTTACAAGTTCAGTTCAGCATCCAGAAAAGCAAAACTGAAACTTGCGAAAGCTCAGTGTGATTTGGAACTTGAACAAAAGGAACAACAAATTAAAGTTCAACAGCAGAAAAACGAGGCTGAGCTGACAAATATTTGAAGCCCAAAGAAAGGTATATGAGGCAGCATTTGTAGTGCGGAATATTGAAGGAGATTCAAATACAATTTCAGATGTCCTTTCTGCTTTACAACAACAAACTAAATGAGAGGCAATTGATAAATATTTCCAGTCATGCTAAGAATATGTACAACCGGTAGCACTTGAAAAACATGTTAAAGCAGCCAGAAAATTACATTTTCACGCTTCTGTCAATGTGCAACATAAGTCTTCGCAAGAACATTTATCCAATGTCGGAGAAATTGCTTCACAAAATGATTCAAATGGTACTCCAGTTGATGAAGGTACAATCCATTCATCAAGTCAGATGCAACAAATAAAGCGCATGATGCAGCATTCGTGTGAAACTATGAAAGCAGTAACAACTAATTTGAGCATGCCCAAGCGTGAATTCCTCTGCTTTGATGAGATCCTGTATCATATACTGTCTCCATAAAAACACTTTGAAGTTAATGTGGAAGAAAGAATTAACGCATTGTACTGGAATAGCAAAGCAAGTTATTCGAAATTGAGTCATACTTCCATCTGACCAGGGTTACCAAGAGGCTTACAATCTTACAAAGAAACTTTGGACAAAAACACAACATTGCACATGCAACAATATACAAGGTCGTGAGGGGTCAGCAGATAAAGGCTTAAAAATTGATAAGCTTTTACAATTGACACAAGATATGAAGAATTGCTATTTGTTTTCTGAACAAATGAATTGCAAAGCAGATATTAACTCGATGGACACACTCGAGGAAGTCATTAAACTTTTACCAGTATTTATGCAAGCCGACTTGGTCAAGGAAGCTGGTAAACTAGTTCTGGAGTTGAACCTGAATTCGTACACTTGACAGAATTCCTGGAAATGAAGTCAACCATTGCCAATACAAGGTTTGGAAAATTGGTTGGATCTTAAGCCAGATGGGGTCAAGAACACCAAACTCAAGGTAAATGATAAAATTGTTCATTTGACTGCAAACGTCACTACATTAAATGTGAGAGTAAGCCTGAATGCATATATTGCAAGGGTAATCACAAGTTGAAATGATGCCAAAGATTTTCCTACAAAACATTCCAACATATATTATTTCTATTGAGTTAAGATGTTGTTGTGATACGATTGTTTTGAGCCACAATCGAGTGCAGGTATATCACAATAGATGCAATTGTGTGCTGTTTCTGAAGCCAGTGTGTACATATACAACATTAAATGATGATATAAAGAAGAATGGACGTGAAGTGCAGCTATATGTGAAATCTCTACATTCAAGCCAAGGTGTTTACTCAAACAAAGTATGGAAAACTGATAATTTGCCTATCCTCGGGGGCGGAGCTACGTCACAGACGTTCCACGTTGCTAAGACGCGCACCACTGTACCACGTATTTCTATGGGCTCTGTGCGCGCTGCTGTGGAATGCCGGTGGAGCCAATGAAAACTCGAGAAAACAACACAAACTCAACTTTGAAGTAATCCTGAACAACCAAATTCATATATGTTACACACATAGGGCTAATCTTGTTACACTGTTCAGAGAACTCTCAACAACCATCGCAAAGTACCGTTTTCTGCGAGTTTTGGGTCTTTGTTTTTACCGCGAGGGTTGCCAGGCGGTAAAAAATGCCCGGATGTCCGCCCCCGAGGATAGCTGAGAAAAGCATTCCAACAACGAAAGATGTCGCGAGATGGTCTTATTTGCATAACATTGACTTGTTAGAGATATAATTCAAGTCGTATTACAGAGTCCAGTATAAATTTTATTCATGTAGATAAAATGTGATTCCCCAGTTGGCACCGCCATGGCGGTATGATGGCCCATGATTACCATACAATAAGCTAGCTGCTGAGAAAAGACGAAACTTCGACTACAAAGAGATCCCATATTACATCACAAATATAAATCTGCATTAGATGATTATATCGCTCGAAGCCATTCCAGGAAAATACCTCACGTTTAATTATTAAACACTACAAATAAACATGCATGGTACTTATCTCATCCCGTATTCCATCGACAAAAAACCTGATAAAGTAAGAGTAGTGTTTGATTGTGCGGCAAAATATAAAGGCACTTCCCTAAATGATCAACTCTTTCAAGGTCCCGGTCTGAATAACTCGCTGGTAGCATTCTTGCTTCAGTTTCGGAAAGAACTAATATCAATGGTAGCAGATATCAAGCAAATGTTCCATCAAGTGAGAGTGGCTAAAAGAGATTGTGATGCATTGAGATTTCTTTGGTGGGATGATACCGTTTCGTTAAGTAAGCCAGTTGAATATAAGATGTTGGTGCATCCCTTTGGTGCAACATCTTCTCCCAGTTGTGCTGCATATGCTTTAAGACGAACTGCAGATGACAACATAGCTGAATTTGACCCAGTTGTTGATCAAAGCTTTTATGATGATTGTTTAAAGCTAGTCAATCAATTACCTTCTATGTTAGCGAAGGTGGACTCCTCTTGACAAAATGGATCTTTAACTCGCGTGAAATATTGGCTAGGATATGTACTACCGAACGAGCCCCATCAGCTGTAAAATTGAATCTTGAAAACCTTCCTATTGATAGAGCTTTTGGAATTCAGTTGAATGTGAAAAAAACGCATTTAGTTTTTGAATTAGTGACGAGCCTAATACAGAAACGCGAAGAGGAATCTTGTCTTATGTAGCTTCTGTTTATGATCCACTTGGGTTTGCTGCTCCCATTGTTATGCCAGCAAAGAAACTTCTACAAGAATTGTGTACAATTAGACATGTTTGGGATGATCCCATACCAGATGAACAATTAACCGTATGGAGAAAGTAGAAATATAATCTTTTGTCCTATAAGAAGTTGGAAATACCTAGATGTTATAAACCAACTTTGTTTGATAAACTACAGACAGCCGAACTTCACAATTTCTCTGATGAATCATTAGCAGGATATGGAGTAGTCTCATATCTCCGCCTTATAAATGCAAATGGTGAAAATCACTTCTTG